TCACCTGAGAGCCAGCAGCCCCAGACAAAGCAACCGTCGGGGCAAGAAAGCCTGAAGAGCGAGAAAAGAGTGGCTCAAGAACCAAGGGTGGCTCAACAATCAGAAAGTAGGGCTAGAGAAGGGTGGCATGACTAAAACTACAAGTTCCAAACATCACACCCCTGAGCAGCCTGACACAAGGTCGTCCATAACGTGAAAGGCAGTGATATTGGATCGGAAAACGTCCATTGCAGAGATGCCGGCGCAACTTGAGAAAACCAATTCCGATAACAGAAAGCCCGCAGGGCAAATTTAATTTGGATGATACCCATTTCCAATGGTAAAGTATTGCAGGTACAATGTCAAATAGGTTTCAATCCAGATTTAGCACTTGTTCCTCCTCCTCCTCCTCCTCCTCCTCCTCCTCCTCCTCCTCCTCCTCCTCCGCCTCCTCCTCCTCCTCCTCCTCCTCCTCCTCTTTCCTCCTCCTCCTCCTCCTCCTCCTCCTCCTCCTCCTCCTCCTCCTCCTCCTCCTCCCTCATCCTCCCTCTTCGTCCCCCTCCGCATGTCTTCTACCTCTATGCGCGTCCACGCAGACGATTTAGCGCTGCGCGCGCGCGAGGTGCATGTGTTTGGTCCCGTAGTTCGGTGTAGTTCTGTTCTAGGAGACTTGCGCCCCCTATCACGCTCCAACCTCCTTCCTCTTCCCTCCTCCTCCTCCCTCCTCCTCCTCCTCCTTCAAAGGTGTTCTCTCCGTAGCCATTTTGGCTCAAGGCTTTGTCTTGGCGGGCTGAGCCCGCATAGGCAGAAACGGACACCGCTGACACCGCGGCAGTGCGAGGGCGCTTGCGCCCGATCAGTTTCTTTGCAGTGCTGGTTCGCCCCAGCAACTGCTTCTCCACGGGGCTCGGAGCTCCCGAGCCATCCCATGTCTTCGAAGGCGGCGAAGCGGCGGCAGAATGAGAGTGAGAACTGGGTCTGTCGTTTCTGCGTCCACGCTGTCACGAAGAAGCCCTGGTTCAACAAAGCAGGGGTCATGTACTGTCGCCAGTGCAGCCTGCACAAGTCCGTGTGCTTCAAAGAGAATCTCAAGCAGTCGGAGTCTCCAAGCACTTCTACTCGGTCTGCCACGCTCGAGGCCAAGTGTGCGGAGCTTCAAGAGCAAGACAGACAGCTTCAAGCAGCAAGGCGTTCTTCTCCTGATTCAGGTACTGGGAACCCTCCTCCTTGGGCTGCTGATGCTAAGCAGTGTGACAAGCGCAGCAGGATCTAGTACCTGGAAGGTCTCATCAAGCAAGTGGCGAGTGGAGGCTTTTCCCAGGACGAGGAGCTGCTCAGACGGTACCGAGAAGAGAAGTCTGCCCTCGAGACGGCCTTGTTTGCTGACAGACCTGTTGAGGAGCAGGCTCGCAGTTTGGCAAACCGGCTTCAATGTGCTCGGCATAAGGAAACGCAGCTGCAGAAGGCCCGCGATGAGCAGCAGAGCAAGATCAGCGAGCTCCAGAAGGTCTTGGAGAGCCTCGACACGCGTTTGGTTGAGGCCAAGGAGGAGGTCCTGCGGCTTGAATGTGAGACGAGGGCAACCATGTCCAAGGCTCAGCCACCCGACGGCAGTGGGGAAGGGCCTCCTTCATTGCGGCAAATGCTCCCCACGCTCTCTGTGTCGGTCGAGCAGCTGGGGGTGGTCGCTTCTGGGCTGGGGGTTCCTCCAGACCTCTTGGAAGAGCTGCAGGCGATGGCGGCCACGATCAAGAAGCTCGCCGAACTCCCTGCAGCGCAGCCACCCACCCCAGAGCCACAGCAGCAACCGCAGACGCCCGAGGAGCCCGAGGAGGACCCCGAGGAGGACCCTGCGCCACATGTTGAGTCCATGGACGTGGATGATCTGCGGGCTACTCTGGATGCAGCAGGGATACCTGCGCAACCCTCGGATGACGCCGAGGTGCTGCGTGGCAAGATCAGGAAGATGCAGACGAGCTACCTCTCCATGTGCAAGCGGCAAAAGCCGTCGGCCGAGTAGGTTCTCGCTTGTGTTCAATGTGCTCAGAGTGATGGTTGGAAGTGTTAGTGGAATGATGGTTGTTTCGGAAAGTGCAGGACCTTCCCCGCGAATGGAAGGAATATTGGGCTCGAGTGGCGACCGCTGTGTACTCGGAAGCGCTGGACCTGTTGTTGGGATGACTGGCACTGGTGATTGCGTGGAGGAGGCCAGCGGGAGCCCTTTCTCATTGGGTCGATGTGCTATTTCAGATGATGGTTCTAATTTTGCAGGGTTGGGACCTGCTTCTGTCCCATTGGCTTATGTGAATGCTGGTATGTGGAGTACAAGGGCTTCCACCAGTCTTTTGTCTGCCCCTGGTAGTGGGCCAGGTGCTGGGGCTTCGGCGTCGGCCTCCTGTTCAGGGACAGCGTTGAGTTCGGCGACTCGGCAGTTCTCTGCATTGGGAGCAGTTCTGGGTCCTGCCATCGTCCCTTTGCTAATGGAGGGCGACCGCTGTGCTCTCGGAAGCGCTGGACCTGTTGTCGGGCCGACTGGCGCAGGTGATTGCGTGAATGAGGCCAGTGGAAGCCCTCCCTCAGGGAAGGCTTTTATTCGGAGTACTACGGCTTCCACCAGTCTCTTGTCTGCCCCTGGTAGTGGGCCAGGTTCTGGGGCTTCGGCGTCGGCTTCATGTACCAGGACAGCGGCGAGTTCGGCGACTCGGCATTTCTCTGCATCTGGTGCTTTTCTGGAATCGACCTTCGTCCCTTCGCTTATGGAGGGCGGCCGCTGTGTTCTCGGAAGCGCTGGACCTGTTGTCGGGCTGACTGGCGCAGGTGATTGCGTGAATGAGGCCAGTGGAAGCCCTCCCCCAGGGAAGGCTAGTATGCGGGGAACTACGGCTACCACCAGTCTCTTGTCTGCCCCTGGTAGCGGGCCAAGGGCTTGGGCTTCGGCGTCGGCCTCCTGTTCCAGGTCAGCGGCGGGTTCGGCGACGCGGCATTTCTCTGCCCCTGGTGGTGGGCCAAGTGCTGGCAGTTCGGCGTCAAGGTCAGCTGTTTCAGGAGGTTGGGGGCAGCCCGCGGTCATTGCCCCAAACGATGCGGCTGATGGTCCACCTCTCACTGGTACGAGGTCGGCTAAACGTTGCTGCATCACGACAGTCAATGCTGGCTCGCATGGGCCGCTGTTTGAGTATCTCTCGGAGTACCAGGGCTCGGTTCTCTTGGCGCAGGAGACCAGAGTCGTGGAGGCCCGTTTAGGAGAATTTCAGAATAGGGCGAGGGATGCAGGCTGGCACGGGCTGTGGTCAGCAGCGATAGAGACGGGCGAGTCGGCCATGTCCAACTCGAGTGGGGTGGTGGTCTTTGCTCGCACCAACATCACCATCACCGCCCCCCCTGACGGCAGCCATGTGATATATCCTGGAAGAGCGGTATGCGCCCACGTGCAATGTGGGGTCCCAGGTGGCATTGCCTTTGCTAGCGTTTACTTTGTGACGGCGATTGGCATGACTGGAGAAAATCTTGCTATACTTTGGGCAGTTGTGCAGAGGATTGCTCAGTGGCAGGCTCTGGGACTGGACTGGGTGATAGGCGGAGATTGGAATTGCGACTTCTATGCCGTCAATGTCAAAGGTTGGGTCGAGAAGCTTGCAGGCTTGGCGTTTGTTCCGTCGGAGGCCACGTGCATTACCGACGCTGGTTCGTCCAAGATTGATTATTTTCTGGCCGCCAGCAATTTGGTTCCAAGACTCGACAGGCAGGCGGTGGTGATGAATGCCCAAGCCACCATTCCACCTCCACATTTTCCCGTGCAGCTGGTGGTCCATGGGTCGGACAGGCCCATGTGGTGTCGAGTTGCTGATGAACCGAGGAAGTTTCCCCCGATCCCACCAGTAGGATGTGCGAGGTACCCTTACAACTGGGACGGGATCAAAGGCATGTTTGAGTCGGTGAAGGCGCCCAGTGACTTACCGCGTGTGTGGGATGCAGTACTTGATGGCGTTGATTTCGAGATCGCTGGGAGATTTGACAAAGTCGATGGTAAGGCCCAGGAATTCGTTGGACGAGCTGGACCCCCGAGATTCAAATGGGAACAAATGACATGGACTCCACCTCGAAAGCGAGAATATCGAGACTCCAGGGTAGCTGCGTGGGCCACGGCAAAGCGTTGGGTGGCCCACTTGCGGTCGGAGAAGGATAAGCTGCACCGTTTCTGTGAGCGGCTCCGAATATGCAGTGCGGTGTGCACGTTAACCGAGATGCAGTACTTCAAGGTGCTGCAGGCGTTCGACGAGGCTGGGAGATATTGTGACAAGATTTCTGCTGAGCAGTGGGTGCTCAAGGATTTGGGTGAGGAGTTCAGTGAATTTCTGCAAAAAGGGTTGGTGATGATTGTCGATCCAAACTTTGAGAGTATCACTGATGCCATTTCCGCCCAGGCCGACAAGGTTTTAGGCCAGGAGCGTTCTAGAACGGAAAAGATTTGGAGAGAATGGGCTAGTGAGTCTTTCTTGGAAGGGGCCAGTCGGGCCCATGCGATGTCCAAAGTCCGAGCACAAGCTGAAGTACTCCAATATTGTCAGGAGTCGCAGCCATACCAGCTTGCGGACCAGACTTTGCGGCAGTGGTCCAAGGTATGGACGCATCATCGGCTTCAAGCGCCTGATCTTCCCTCGGATTCCAGTGAGTGGGACGCTCTTCCCCATATCTCTTTTACTGATGTAAGGAATGTGGTGAGGTCCTTTTCGACCAAGACAGCTGCTGGCCCAACGAGGTTGGCGCCGAGGAGTCTGGACGTCCTGTCCGACGGCGCGCTCCAAGCTATTGGCAACCTTTTCATGTTATGTGAACGGTGGTTGTGCTGGCCAGCAGATCGAATACACAGCGAACTCGTGCGACTGCCGAAACCCGATGGCGATCACCGATTAATTGTTCTGAGTAACACACTGATACGTGTATGGGGGAAACTCAGGCGACCGATTTCGAGGGAATGGCAAGATCGATATGCCTGCCATGAGATGTGGGGCACGAAATCG